CTTTTGACAACATCTGACTTGGAGCCACTGGAGCAAATATTGCATAGTGTTGAACTTCTGTCACTCCAGCAGTTTGACACAGAACACTCCTTCCTGAAGAAAATCCGGTTTGTTGATTATATGGTGGAATGTATCATTTTACACTGACACAAGTCATTTATGGTTCATTAACCACAAACTTGTTGGTATTCTCACACAGTAAAGTGCAGTAAACAAAGCTGTAAAAATGATTTATTAGTAAATATTGGTATGTTTAAAATAGAAGCATTTAAGAAGGATTGGCAAGAATTTAACTAAAGGTATGATCTCACTCTAAATATCAAATCAATGCTTTCTTGTAGGAACTTCCTCACATTTGATGGTGGAAGCACTGAAACTAGACTCTGCAACAAGATCCTCATTATTCAGTGTGATTTTGATGAAGCCTTTCACAGTGCTGATCTCATTGCATCTGCAAAGTAGGTCAAATATTTCCTGTCGTTTGGGTAGCACCATTGTATGGTTTTGCCATATTGAGTTTTGCTGTGTGTGTGTGTGTGTGTGTGTGTATATATATATGTATATAATGTTTATGAATACTGTCTCTTCGCTTTCTACCATGCTTCCCCTACCTTTGATTGCACTATTCTGTTGTCTAAAACACACTGTTTTTAGGTATTCATCCATAAATGAAATCAACAAGATAACTCATGCAAACAAGGGAAGCAAGGTGTTTGTCTACTTTATCACCAGACTGCCAAGAGTGGAAGGTGGGACTTCCTATGTTGGCTTTCATGGAGGTAAGGCTAATACAACTTCTTTTTAAAAAATTTGCATTATTTTAAGAATAGAGAATAATCTGACATGTTAACATTTACAGGTCCTTGGAGGTCTGTTCACATTGATGACCTCAGACAGTCAAAAGACATTGTTTCAGACATCAAAGCCTTACAAAACATGACAATCAGTCAAATGTTTGAAACTAAGACAAATCAGCCTGAAGGTAAAATAATTAATAGCAAATGATTTACTTTTATACATTTTCTTCACATTAAAATTTTTGTGGATTTAAACTAAATTCTTTTCTACAGCAATGGAGGTCGATGACATGTATACTGGGGTGGAGGAAGCAGAGCTGGAAGAAAATGTGAGCATTGACAACATATTTCAAACATGACTTTATGTGCATCAAGTCTTAACTTTCTTCCTTTCTGCACACTTTTGTCTGACAACAGTGACATGTCACTGTAGTCTTGGTTACTTGTGACACTAGTTTTTGACCAGTGTGTTGTTCTGCTGCAGGGCTGCAATAATGTTGTGGACACTACAGCACTGTTGCGCAGCTGTGTGCAGAGTGCAGTGGGCATGCTGAGGGACCAGGTGGAAACTGGTTTCCGTAGTACTGAGAGAGTTGAGATCCTGCTGTCACTTCTCAGAGACAACGATCATATAAAAGGTATAAACACCAACAACTTTTTTCAGTTGTCTGCCCCCCCCACAGACACACACACACACACACACACACACTGTGTGTGTGTGTGTGTGTGTGTGTGTGTGTGTGTTTGTGTCAGAATCCGTCTGGCTGCACTGTTGTGCCCCTACAGTAAATTTACTATTGCTATTTTGATAATAGTTCAGAGCATTGTGATGGCATTTCTCACTACTGTCAAGTTTTACAAACCAGTCAATTGATTAATGGAGAAAATAATCACCAGATTAATCCGTAATGAAAATAATCATGAGTCGCACTTTGATAACAGAGCTCTACCCCAACCAACTTAAAACAATCAAATCCTTCTTTTACAGTACAACAATGCATGAGTGATAGGCTGTTAATGTTAATGACATAATACCACAACAGTATAGGATATATAGTATAATCTTTTTGCATTGAGAAGCCTGCTTCTACTTTTAACACCTCTGTTGTCATTCCTTTGAGGGTATCTGATAATAGTAACTGTGTAATACCCTGAAACTATGACAGTGTAGTGAATATCCCTAATCTACTCGTCTTCCTTTGCTTTGTCATTGGCTACTGTGCATCTGTCTCTGTGCATCTCTTGTCCATGGTGGTTTGGTTCTCTTTTTAGTTGTGTTGCTCTCTTTGTTTAATGCTCCAGTGTAAGAGATTCTCTATAGCTGACAGGAAGGACAAGTATTTTAGTGTGTCCTCCTGGTAAAAGTAGCATGCCTCTACCAGGTGCTGTCATTTTTCCCTTTTTGCTGAATCTGGCATTTTACTCACTGAAAACACAACGTAGCGATGCACATTAACTGATGTTTGTTAGATAAAATGTAATAATTTTTAAAAAGCATGTGGTGCATAATGTACACTACCAGTCAAAAATCTGGACACACCTTCCCAATGGATTCAATGGGAGATGCACAAAGCAACTTCACTGGATCAAGGAGCAAAACGGTCCTTATTAAGTGGATATTAACCAAATGTGACATCACACAGTTTCTTTGTAAATTGGATACATTTAGTGTTTCTACAGTAACAGTGATCCCAGATGAGTTCCTAGTGGAGATGTATACAGATGTTAAATTTGGAATAAAACAATGTTAAAGGTGAGGAAAAAGTGGGATGTGCATCCCTAGTAAGCAGGGTGTGGACTGTAGCTTCAAACCAAGGTACAAAGAGCTTTGATCACACTGTTCCTGCATCAGCCTCAGTAAATCATTATCTTCAGCTGGCCACTTATTGCAGACATGCATTGATTTTTTTTTTCAGTTTTATGAGCAAAAGCCAAAAGTCTGTGGGTGTAATGCATTAACGGACTGGCCTAATGAACGGGTGAAGGTTTTTTTTTCCCACTGTTCTGATGAAGCACTGCTGCGGTGCCAGGAACCGCATCAATTACACAGAGTAGAGATGGAGAAAGCAATATAATCAAGATGTGGCCTTAAATTTCTGGGAAAAAGCTGCAGCCTGACACAATGGATTTGATTTAAATGAAATGACTCGATAGAGAACGTGATTTGTTTGGGATTTTTGAGAGTCCCACTTACCTGCCCAAAAGGATCATCATTTGACCTGTTGTGATTAGATTATTATTTACACATGTATGATTGTGTCACAAAAGTAGATTGATCTTGAGGAATAGGAGATGCAGTGGAGAAGGGGTATGAGATAAAGAGTAGGGTGAGCAGAATAGATGAATGTGTATGAGAGAGAAGAGGAAGATCCACACTAACGGGGAAGCTAACAGAAAGTAAAATGGATTTTAGACCCAAAAATGGTGTTGTACCTCTTGAATCTGTAGTTTCCCATCAGCAGTGACATCGTAGGCAGACATAAATCTTTGCTTCACTCTCTGAACTCTCTCTTCAGTCACCTTCTCCTGTAGAGATGCAATACATTAAAATGCAACACTGCTTTTCTTGCTCCACATATGTCATTAGAAATCCACTCCTTGTGTAGCTGGACACTGATACAATGATGATGATGGGAGTATATATAATGGGGCAAAATAAATTAGGATATATATGAAAGTGTAATAAAATATTTAATTGTGTCATGCTGATTCAAACTTGTAATTGACCGTCACGTCAAGTCAGTCAAGAATGGTACGGCGGCCTAAACACTTCACCGGCTGAGTCACAGTTATTTTAAGCAATGTCACCATGGATACTCCTTTGAATCTGCAGGTCTGCTTTCTCAATCCGAGGCTACATAAAGCATTAATGTTGTGCACTCTACATTTCCTTGGCCTCAGTCATGATGCACTAAACTGAAACACCTCAAACATTTGTATCCATTACTTTGTCATCCAGGAAAAGTAAAGCCATTTTTAATAGTAGTATCATGCTTCTGTTTTCTTTGTGTAGTCATAGTGTGTTAGGCCATGACTTACTTACCTTACAGTACTTGCAGCAGGCAGTTTACTGCAAATGCCTCAGTTTAAATAAATGAAACCTGTCTAATCTGTTGTGTAACTAGTATATATGCAACTGTACCACCATGTTGAATACAGTGAAGAATTGGTAACTGCTTTTACTCAGGGAATGTGAACCTTGTAAGGATTTAGAAAACATATTCTAGCAGATTATAATCAAAGGTTAACTAAGATTTAAAAAAAAAGTCTGCAAAAATACAGCCTGGTGCACACTTATCTGAGTTAAGAATCATATTTTCAGTTCCTGTGTAGACCAGGTTCTTTCTCAACCAAAGTTCAGACTAAAGCGTGATGCATCTGCATGCAAAATGTTTAAGCTATTTAGCGGCTAATTTTCCAGTGTCTCTTTGTAAACTCCTCCACCACTGTACTGTAACTATAGAAACCTGTTGATCTGGCTTGCTGGGATCTGAATCATCATTTGATGCACTGCAGGGAGCACATAGTTTGCAGACTACTAGGTGCCAGTCTCATTACAAAAAGACAAGTATTTGTCTTCAGCTTGGCCTTTCTATCAGGCATGTTTGGTGTCAGCAGTTTCCTGGTGCTTTTTGCAAGTTTATTTTAAAACAAAATGTGTGACTTCATGTACTACTGAATTTATTTCAGAAGGCATGCTGTTTCTTCACAACTTAAACCTACAGTATGTATACTCTAGGTTTTGCAAGAAAACAAAGAAAAACAACAAACACAAGAGAGCGCAAGTGACCACGGTCGCCATCGCTGTCGGCGCCAGAAGTACAAGATTATTTAAAACTGTGTTATGTTCCCTCTTCACAGCTCTGAGACAAGAACAATCCTTGTACAGAACTACATTGTCCAGGACAGGAACATGAGCTGCAGCATGCCCTTCAGTTGGAGGATCAAGGACTACATGGAGGATCTCTGGGTTCATGTGCTTCATCATGAGGGTATACACCTGGTATCAGCTATTATCAGATACTCTGTATAAATGAGATATCCCTAGTTTGATGTTGTTCATTTTTGCTATTTACATTAAGTTTTATTTGTCTTAGGATACACTCAACAAATGTTCGATCAGTTCTTTTGGAAGACGCCACTGGGAGAATACATTGCAAAAGCAGACCCAGAGATGCAGGCGGAGTTTTTCCACCGTTACCTTCAGGATTTCATTTCAATGACGATGAATGTGACTTGTCAGGAAGATCTGCAGGTTGATTTTCTGTAACACTTAAAGCTCTTAAATTTTGAGTCTACGTTTGGGTGATGTGTGTGCATGTATGTACTGATGCACCTTATCTGTTTTTTAGCTCCTGTGTAGTGCCTTGAATTGCTGTGTCAGTGAACTGCGATTGCAGCTCAAAGAAACTGAAGCAGTGATGTCTCTGCCATGGGTCCATGCTGCTTATCATAAGTTCAAGAACCGACTGCAGAACCTCTCCAGAATGATCTGTCTTGAGCCCCAGGTGACCCAGGACCTTTTGAGGAAACTTCATGACAGAGATGGGGTTGAACTGGTGAGCCTCTGTTTTAGTAGTTTAAATATTCGATTTCTGCTTCCATCTCATTTAAGTTATGTGAATTATACTCACGTGATACTGACACTGTAATATTTAAATATTATTTATGTTGCCCTTTTAGTGGCATGTATTATAAAGTGATCATGTCCCCCCTCTCTCTAAGGTACATGATGCGTATGCTGCTCTTGCGTGTGTGGAGTACCTGGAGCCTAGAGCCCTGGACACAGATGAACAAAGACAAGCCTGGCTCAGGCAGGTCAAAAAGCTCCAGGTTCCCATTGAGTTGATCTGCTCAGAGGACAATGTCCGACGGTATGGAGAGCGGAGCAAGGCGATTGTCTGTAGAGTCCGGTAAGTTAGGCTGACTAAACATTCCAGATTGTCCTGGTTTTATATGCTAGGGCTGCGGTTTTCCAAAAGTTTTATTTATTTATTTCTTTATTTATTTTTTTTTTTTTTAAGAACTGGATGGAATCGGATAAATTCTCTGT